ACGGCAAAAATCTTTCTTCAGCGACTGTGGCAATCACAGCTCGACTGGGATGACCAATTTCCCCCCGATCTCGCTGATGAGTGGGAAGCTCTTCGGGCGTCACTCCTGTCACTTGATGGCCTTCAACTCGATCGATGGGTTCGACGCGGATCGGATACGACGGCCTGCGAGCTGCACGGGTTCGCGGACGCGTCCTCTCATGCGTATGCAGCCGTGGTTTATCTGAGGCTTCTCTCGATCTCCGGAGAGGTCTCCTCGATGCTCCTCGTCGGAAAGTCTAGGGTCGCGCCCGTTAAATCATTGAGCATTCCGCGATTGGAGCTCGCAGCAGCGGTGCTGCTCTCCAGATTAATGGAGTTCGTGATCACGTCCCTCCACCTTTCCGAGGTTCCGTGCTACTGCTGGACGGACTCCACGGTCGTCCTTGCGTGGGTTACGCAGCATCCGTCACGGTGGCGAACGTTCGTGGCAAATCGCGTCGCGGAAATCCAGACCCGACTTCCCTCCGCTTCGTGGCGACACGTGCCCACCATTGACAACCCCGCCGACTGCGCGTCTCGCGGAATTTCCGGGCATCAGCTCGCATCCCATCCGTTGTGGTGGCATGGTCCATTGTGGCTTAAGCTTCCGATCTCCGACTGGCCGGTACCTGTCGACCCTCACCCTCAGACCTCAATGGAACAAAATGTAAAGACGCAGGTTCTCGTCGCGATGTCGAGAGACACTGTCGTGTGGGATCTCGCCGCGCGCCACTCGTCGTGGCCGAAGTTAATGCGCATCACCGCCTACGTTATGCGATTTATCTCGCGTACTCGCGGACGTATTACGTTGCCGGCTGAGCGCGTCGAGAGTCCCTCATCCTTGACGGGTCACGAAATTCAACGCGCGACGAACTTTTGGGTAAAAACCATTCAAGCGGAGCTATTCGCGCGCGAGCTGACCGCGCTTCGAAGGGGAAACGCGCTCTCATCGAAAAGCGTACTGTTGCCTCTCGCGCCGTATTTGGACGAAGATCAAATAATTCGTGTTGGTGGGCGGTTGTCGCGGGCGCCCATCCCGGCTCACGTCAAACATCCGATCGTTCTCGCGCCCCATCCTCTCGTCCAGCTCCTCATACAGGATATTCACAGGCGATATCTCTATGCCGGCATCCAGCTTACTCTGGCAACGCTGCGGCGAAGGTACTGGGTTATCCGAGCTCGCGGTGCGGTCAGATCGGTCATCCATCGGTGTGTCGCGTGCACTCGCGAGCGAGCTGCCGTCCCAACACAGCTTATGCGGAACCTCCCGCAATTCAGAGTCTCTCCTCCCGCGCGCGCATTCATTCACTGCGGAGTAGATTATGCTGGCCCGATACTAGTTCGAGCGATGTCTGGGCGCGGAGTGGCCTCCCGAAAGGCCTACATCGCCATATTCGTGTGTATGGCAACGCGCGCGGTACACTTGGAGTTGGTCGAGGGGTACGCCACTCCGGCATTTTTGGGGGCCTATTCGCGATTTGTGGCTCGACGGGGTCTTCCGACGGCGGTGTACTCCGATAACGGGACCACCTTCGTCGGAGCGGACCGCGAACTCACAGTCGCGTTTAGAGCGGCTCTTCGCGATCCCGTTTTTTTGAATAGGACTGCTTCGGACAATGTCGAGTGGCATTTTCTGCCTCCTTCCGCCCCTCATTTTGGCGGCCTATGGGAGGCCGGTGTTCGAAGCGTGAAGCACCACATTCGCCGGGTGGTTGGAGCGCACACGCTGACGTTTGAAGAGTTCTCCACGCTTCTTTGTAACGTCGAGGCATGCCTCAACTCTAGGCCCATAGCACCGCTCTCCGACTCCATAGATACATACGATCCGCTGACCCCCGGGCATTTTCTCATTGGTGCTGCTCTTAACTCGAGTCCAGAGCCTTCCCTGTTACAGGTAAAAGAAAATCGCCTATCTCGATGGCAGTTGGTTCGGCAGCTCACCGAGCGTTTTTGGAAGTTGTGGCAGAGCGATTATATTAACATGCTGCAACAGCGGGGAAAATGGCGACATATTGAGAAGCCAAATATTTGGGTGGGACAGTTGGTTTTGCTTCGCAATCCACTGCTTCCACCGTGCAAGTGGGAGCTCGGCCGCGTTGTTTTGTGTCACCCGGGTCTCGACGAATTGGTTCGCGTTGTTACGGTAAAAACGGCGTCGTCCGAGTACAAGCGTCCGATCGGTAGACTGTGCCTTCTGCCGATCGATATTGAGAAGTCGGAAAGCGCCGACAAGTGATGTCAAGTCTCGCCTCGACATGCCGAACGCCTCGCTCAATTCTACTCGAAACCTTTTCTGAGTCACTCGCATCTTTTGTTTTCTTTCGAAACTATTGTTTCGAGGTGGGCGGTATGTTGAGAAACAGACAAATAATTTGAATGGTAATTTCGTGTCAAATTAATTGTAAGTACAAATAAACGTTAGAGGTAAGAACCCGCTTTTTCAAAACAAACTTGTTATTCCCCGCCAGCGAGGCAAGGACAACAGTTATCAATATTGATCGATATGAGAAATCAGCCGTTGACCGCGTGATTTCGGTCCCTTCACTCGGTCGGAAATCAATACCGGCCAATCGTGATTCTTCGCAAAAAACGAGCGTCCCCTCCAAGAGGTCGTGTCGAAATCTCGCGCCTCGGCGAAGAACGCCCCGACTCTGAGCGTTTACTCTTCGAAAAATTGTCAAGTCAGCGACACCGAAAATCAGAACGACTATAGATCGGTTGAATAATTCGGACATAACTTCTAAGACTGAACGTGTACTCGAAAAATAAACTAATTTGTGATACTGCATTCGGAGTTATCTCTCGAGAGTTCTCTTGTCAGCTGCTCTTTCCTTCGCGCTCTCTCTGAGCGATACCGGCGTCCGCGGTCAACGCGAAAAAGAAAAAGGGGAAACCCACCTCGCGTACGCGACATTGTTGGTCCTTCGAGCCGGATCGAAGGAATTGTGGAAGCTCAACGACCTTGGAAGTGACCACTGTGACGGAGATCTGACAACATCATGAGTGAGCAGTTGCTTACCAAGCAGCAGTCACAACTGCACTCGGTGGCGCGAGCTCTTCCGAATTTCAAAAAACTCGGAAAGAACAATTATACGCCAGCGCTAATTCGATCGCGACTGACGGGCCTGAAAGAAGCTTGGGCGCTGTGCACGGCCTCTCACGCTGCGCTGATCCATGTCTTCCCAGGGGCCAAACGGAAGGACGTCGGCTACTTCGACAATGCGGAGTTCGAGGAACACGAGGAGATCTTCCAGAGGACGGCGGACTACATGACGGAATGCCTCGAAGAATTAGAGCCTCCTCTCAACTCAACTCCATTGGCAAGTCCACCGGCGTTCGGTAATCCCTCCGCGTTACTCTCCTTGTCGCACCTACCGTCTATCAATATACCCCCGTTCTCGGGAACCCATGAGGACTGGGAGAGTTTTCGCGATCGATTCACGTCGCTCATAATTAAAAATACAGAGTTAACTGCATTTTCCCGCATGCATTACTTAGCGTCTAGTCTCTCCGGGCGTGCTCTGGAATTGATACGAACTGTCCCAGTCACCGCCGACAATTTTGAAGTCGCTTGGCGATTGCTAGTCTCGCGCTACGATAACAAACGGCAACTGGTCGGCGTGCATGTCTCCGCGCTATGCAACCTGCCGGCCGTCACACGCGAATCGGCCGTCGAGCTTAGCGAACTACAGGATAAAGCCAATCGAGCTATCGCGTCGCTCAGAAATCTCCACCGGTCGTCAGACGAAATTTTGAGTGATGTCCTAGTTCATCTTGTCACTCAGCGACTTGATCACGCCACGCACAAGGCGTGGCGACTGAAAGGAGGCGATGATGCCGCGATTCCAACATTCGAGGACTTAGATAGATTTATCTCCGCGCGCGTGCGAGCCTTGGAAGAACTCACGCCTCATAACGCGGCTAAGCCCACGCGTCCGTCAAGATCCGCCTCCGTGAACGCCGCCACCACGTCTCCAGTCTCGTGTCCGATTTGTAAGGCGAGTCATTACTTGAGTAAGTGTCCGCAATTTGTTAAGAAAGGTCCGAGTCAACGCATGGAGTTCATCAAACAGCACCAAAGGTGCATTAATTGTCTCAGTGCGAAACACGCCTTGTATTCATACCCTAGCCAATACACTTGTCGCCGATGCCAGAAAAGGCATCATTCGATGCTCCATGTTGATTCAGGCTCATGCGTTACCGCCTCGGTGATCACTGCTGAATCGACTTCGCCGGTCGAAGCGAGAGGTAATCGCGGCGCGGTAGCGTTGTTTGCTTCGCAAGAATTATCGCATCGAACTCCGGTACTCCTTGCGACGGCGCGAGTCACGGTTCGTTCACCGGCGGGTCGCGACGCGAACGTGCGAGCGTTGCTCGATCCGGGATCGGAGATAACCTTCATGTCCGCTCGGCTTGCACAAACCTTAAGACTGCGTCGTTTCCAAGATCAGTTTTCACTCTCTGCCATCTGCGGTCTTAAAGCGGGTAACTGCAAGTTTGCAGCTCAAATTACCCATACAGCACAGATTATTGCAAATATATTGCAGCAACGTTGCAATGTTGCAAGTTGCAATGCAACATTATAAAGACATTGCAGAGATATAAGTGCACAAAATTCCAGCACACTTGTAGCAACATGACATTAATATTTCGGAAATATTGCATGTAATCCAAATTCTATAATTTATATATTGTAATATATATGAATTAACTACAACGTATTTTCATTAATGATTTATTTACATTTATATACCTGTATATGCAACATTAGTTTATGGTTGCAATAACAATACATTATTGCAAACTCATAACATATTGCAATATTGTTGTAATATTTTGTTGCAATCTTCCAAAAAGCGGACATTTTAACATTGCTGCAATTCAACAGCAATAATGTAGCAACATTTTGCAGTGAATTTGCAATATTGCAATATTGCGGTGAAAGATTGTTGTAATGTTTTTGCAATCTTTCGGTGCTGTATGGGTACGATCTCGCCGCAAAATAAATCAGAGCCGAGTCTCACAATCACTGCGTCGATTTTGCCTTCACTCGCTGATTACAATTCGGGGCTCGATCGAGCCAGGTGCAACTGGGATCATCTCGCGGATCTCGCCCTAGCAGATCCTCACTTCAATGGTTCTGATCCCATTGAGCTCCTCATCGGCGCCGATATCTATGGCGAGATATTCCTTGGCGAAATGCGGAAGGGACCTCGCGGGCAGCCCTATGCATTAAATACTATTTTCGGATGGGCAGTATCCGGTCCTACGAGTGTTTCACTTCAATCCCGCCGAACAATCACTGTTCAACATTGTTCGGCCTCAACGTCGCTTGCGCTCGATCGCGAACTGAGAAGATTTTGGGAGATCGAGGAAGTTCCGCGACAGACTGTACTCGGCCCGGAGGAACAACGATGCGAGGATTACTTCATGACCACTCATTCGCGTTTTTCCCACGGCCGATACATTGTGCGCCTTCCATTCAAACGTGATCCTCCCATTAATATCGGTCGTTCTCGCGATACCGCTGAGCGATGTCTAAAAAGCTTACTTCGACGCTTTGAAATTAACGCCGAGCTAAAACAACAATATTTCAATTTCATGCGGGAATACGAAGCTCTGGGACACATGCGCAGAGCCTCAACTCTCTCAGAATCCTCTCAGTGCGTGTATATTCCTCACCATCCCGTCTTTCGCGACGGTAGTGCGACCACACACTTGCGCGTGGTGTTCAATGCGTCGAGTCTAACGTCTAGCGGGAAATCGCTTAATGATAATTTGCTTCCAGGACCTAAACTACAAACGGACTTGGCGGCGGTCGTGATGCGATGGCGACAGTTTCGCTACGTATACTCGGCCGATGTCGAGAAAATGTATAGGCAGATCGTCGTTGATCTGCGTGACACAAATTATCAACGCATATTATGGGTGGATACCGAGACGGAGCGCGTGCAAGAATATAAGCTCTTGACCGTGACGTACGGCATGGCGTCGGCGCCGTTTTTGGCGTTACGAGTCCTGCGCCAACTGGTCCGCGATGAAGGGCATTCCTATCCGTTAGCCGTGTCCGTCCTGACGGATAACATTTATGTTGACGACGTCTTGTTCGGCGCCGACGATATCCCTCTGCTTTAGCAGGCGCGCGAGCAAGTATGCTCACTGCTGTGCTGCGGCCAATTCAATTTGCGTAAGTGGTCCAGTAACTCGTCGGCTCTTTTGAGCGACATTGATGACAGCGATCACGGTTTGGCATGCAGCAAGGACCTTCAACCAGGCGAAAAGGTTAAATCCTCGGGATATGCTGGCACCCCGCTAAGGACGTGTTTCGGTTCCGCATTTCCTGCCCTCCCTCTGTCTCGATAACGAAAAGATCGATTCTCTCGAATATCGCGCGAATATTTGATCCGTTGGGGTGGAGTGCTCCGGTCACCATAACGGCAAAAATCTTTCTTCAGCGACTGTGGCAATCACAGCTCGACTGGGATGACCAATTTCCCCCCGATCTCGCTGATGAGTGGGAAGCTCTTCGGGCGTCACTCCTGTCACTTGATGGCCTTCAACTCGATCGATGGGTTCGACGCGGATCGGATACGACGGCCTGCGAGCTGCACGGGTTCGCGGACGCGTCCTCTCATGCGTATGCAGCCGTGGTTTATCTGAGGCTTCTCTCGATCTCCGGAGAGGTCTCCTCGATGCTCCTCGTCGGAAAGTCTAGGGTCGCGCCCGTCAAATCATTGAGCATTTCGCGATTGGAGCTCGCAGCAGCGGTGCTGCTCTCCAGATTAATGGAGTTCGTGATCACGTCCCTCCACCTTTCCGAGGTTCCGTGCTACTGCTGGACGAACTCCACGGTCGTCCTTGCGTGGGTTACGCAGCATCCGTCACGGTGGCGAACGTTCGTGGCAAATCGCGTCGCGGAAATCCAGACCCGACTTCCCTCCGCTTCGTGGCGACACGTGCCCACCATTGACAACCCCGCCGACTGCGCGTCTCGCGGAATTTCCGGGCATCAGCTCGCATCCCATCCGTTGTGGTGGCATGGTCCATTGTGGCTTAAGCTTCCGATCTCCGACTGGCCGGTACCTGTCGACCCTCACCCTCAGACCTCAATGGAACAAAATGTAAAGACGCAGGTTCTCGTCGCGATGTCGAGAGACACTGTCGTGTGGGATCTCGCCGCGCGCCACTCGTCGTGGCCGAAGTTAATGCGCATCACCGCCTACGTTATGCGATTTATCTCGCGTACTCGCGGACGTATTACGTTGCCGGCTGAGCGCGTCGAGAGTCCCTCATCCTTGACGGGTCACGAAATTCAACGCGCGACGAACTTTTGGGTAAAAACCATTCAAGCGGAGCTTTTCGCGCGCGAGCTGACCGCGCTTCGAAGGGGATACGCGCTCTCATCGAAAAGCGTACTGTTGCCTCTCGCGCCGTATTATGACGAAGATCAAATAATTCGTGTTGGTGGGCGGTTGTCGCGGGCGCCCATCCCGGCTCACGTCAAACATCCGATCGTTCTCGCGCCCCATCCTCTCGTCCAGCTCCTCATACAGGATATTCACAGGCGATATCTCTATGCCGGCATCCAGCTTACTCTGGCAACGCTGCGGCGAAGGTACTGGGTTATCCGAGCTCGCGGTGCGGTCAGATCGGTCATCCATCGGTGTGTCGCGTGCACTCGCGAGCGAGCTGCCGTCCCAACACAGCTTATGCGGAACCTCCCGCAATTCAGAGTCTCTCCTCCCGCGCGCGCATTCATTCACTGCGGAGTAGATTATGCTGGCCCGATACTAGTTCGAGCGATGTCTGGGCGCGGAGTGGCCTCCCGAAAGGCCTACATCGCCATATTCGTGTGTATGGCAACGCGCGCGGTACACTTGGAGTTGGTCGAGGGGTACGCCACTCCGGCATTTTTGGGGGCCTATTCGCGATTTGTGGCTCGACGGGGTCTTCCGACGGCGGTGTACTCCGATAACGGGACCACCTTCGTCGGAGCGGACCGCGAACTCACAGTCGCGTTTAGAGCGGCTCTTCGCGATCCCGTTTTTTTGAATAGGACTGCTTCGGACAATGTCGAGTGGCATTTTCTGCCTCCTTCCGCCCCTCATTTTGGCGGCCTATGGGAGGCCGGTGTTCGAAGCGTGAAGCACTACATTCGCCGGGTGGTTGGAGCGCACACGCTGACGTTTGAAGAGTTCTCCACGCTTCTTTGTAACGTCGAGGCATGCCTCAACTCTAGGCCCATAGCACCGCTCTCCGACTCCATTATCGCGTCGCTCAGAAATCTCCACCGGTCGTCAGACGAAATTTTGAGTGATGTCCTAGTTCATCTTGTCACTCAGCGACTTGATCACGCCACGCACAAGGCGTGGCGACTGAAAGGAGGCGATGATGCCGCGATTCCAACATTCGAGGACTTAGATAGATTTATCTCCGCGCGCGTGCGAGCCTTGGAAGAACTCACGCCTCATAACGCGGCTAAGCCCACGCGTCCGTCAAGATCCGCCTCCGTGAACGCCGCCACCACGTCTCCAGTCTCGTGTCCGATTTGTAAGGCGAGTCATTACTTGAGTAAGTGTCCGCAATTTGTTAAGAAAGGTCCGAGTCAACGCATGGAGTTCATCAAACAGCACCAAAGGTGCATTAATTGTCTCAGTGCGAAACACGCCTTGTATTCATACCCTAGCCAATACACTTGTCGCCGATGCCAGAAAAGGCATCATTCGATGCTCCATGTTGATTCAGGCTCATGCGTTACCGCCTCGGTGATCACTGCTGAATCGACTTCGCCGGTCGAAGCGAGAGGTAATCGCGGCGCGGTAGCGTTGTTTGCTTCGCAAGAATTATCGCATCGAACTCCGGTACTCCTTGCGACGGCGCGAGTCACGGTTCGTTCACCGGCGGGTCGCGACGCGAACGTGCGAGCGTTGCTCGATCCGGGATCGGAGATAACCTTCATGTCCGCTCGGCTTGCACAAACCTTAAGACTGCGTCGTTTCCAAGATCAGTTTTCACTCTCTGCCATCTGCGGTCTTAAAGCGGGTAACTGCAAGTTTGCAGCTCAAATAACGATCTCGCCGCAAAATAAATCAGAGCCGAGTCTCACAATCACTGCGTCGATTTTGCCTTCACTCGCTGATTACAATTCGGGGCTCGATCGAGCCAGGTGCAACTGGGATCATCTCGCGGATCTCGCCCTAGCAGATCCTCACTTCAATGGTTCTGATCCCATTGAGCTCCTCATCGGCGCCGATATCTATGGCGAGATATTCCTTGGCGAAATGCGGAAGGGACCTCGCGGGCAGCCCTATGCATTAAATACTATTTTCGGATGGGCAGTATCCGGTCCTACGAGTGTTTCACTTCAATCCCGCCGAACAATCACTGTTCAACATTGTTCGGCCTCAACGTCGCTTGCGCTCGATCGCGAACTGAGAAGATTTTGGGAGATCGAGGAAGTTCCGCGACAGACTGTACTCGGCCCGGAGGAACAACGATGCGAGGATTACTTCATGACCACTCATTCGCGTTTTTCCCACGGCCGATACATTGTGCGCCTTCCATTCAAACGTGATCCTCCCATTAATATCGGTCGTTCTCGCGATACCGCTGAGCGATGTCTAAAAAGCTTACTTCGACGCTTTGAAATTATCGCCGAGCTAAAACAACAATATTTCAATTTCATGCGGGAATACGAAGCTCTGGGACACATGCGCAGAGCCTCAACTCTCTCAGAATCCTCTCAGTGCGTGTATATTCCTCACCATCCCGTCTTTCGCGACGGTAGTGCGACCACACACTTGCGCGTGGTGTTCAATGCGTCGAGTCTAACGTCTAGCGGGAAATCGCTTAATGATAATTTGCTTCCAGGACCGAAACTACAAACGGACTTGGCGGCGGTCGTGATGCGATGGCGACAGTTTCGCTACGTATACTCGGCCGATGTCGAGAAAATGTATAGGCAGATCGTCGTTGATCTGCGTGACACAAATTATCAACGCATATTATGGGTGGATACCGAGACGGAGCGCGTGCAAGAATATAAGCTCTTGACCGTGACGTACGGCATGGCGTCGGCGCCGTTTTTGGCGTTACGAGTCCTGCGCCAATTGGTCCGCGATGAAGGGCATTCCTATCCGTTAGCCGTGTCCGTCCTGACGGATAACATTTATGTTGACGACGTCTTGTTCGGCGCCGACGATATCCCTCTGCTTCAGCAGGCGCGCGAGCAAGTATGCTCACTGCTGTGCTGCGGCCAATTCAATTTGCGTAAGTGGTCCAGTAACTCGTCGGCTCTTTTGAGCGACATTGATGACAGCGATCACGGTTTGGCATGCAGCAAGGACCTTCAACCAGGCGAAAAAGGTTAAAGTCCTCGGGATATGCTGGCACCCCGCTAAGGAAGTGTTTCGGTTCCGCATTTCCTGCCCTCCCTCTGTCTCGATAACGAAAAGATCGATTCTCTCGAATATCGCGCGAATATTTGATCCGTGGGGGTGGAGTGCTCCGGTCACCATAACGGCAAAATCTTTCTTCAGCGACTGTGGCAATCACAGCTCGACTGGGATGACCAATTTCCCCCCGATCTCGCTGATGAGTGGGAAGCTCTTCGGGCGTCACTCCTGTCACTTGATGGCCTTCAACTCGATCGATGGGTTCGACGCGGATCGGATACGACGGCTGCGAGCTGCACGGGTTCGCGGACGCGTCCTCTCATGCGTATGCAGCCGTGGTTATCTGAGGCTTCTCTCGATCTCCGAGAGGTCTCCTCGATGCTCTCGTCGGAAAAGTCTAGGGTGGCGCGCCCTGTTAGAATCATTGAGCTTCTCGCGATTGGCGTGGGTTACGCAGCATCCGTCACGGTGGCGAACGTTCGTGGCAAATCGCGTCGCGGAGGAAATCCAGACCCGACTTCCCTCCGCTTCGTGGCGACACGTGCCCACCATTACAACCCGCCGATCTGCGGCGTCTCGCGGCTTTCCGGGCATCAGCTCGCATCCATCGTTGTGGTGGCATGGTTCATTGTGGCTTAAGCTTACGATCTC